AGGATTCTTTGCTGCCTGCTTTTACTAGTAGGATTTGTCAAAGGGTCCATAGTCAAAACTCAAAAAACTGATCATACTTTTCTCCTTCATCCATCCATCCATCCATCCATCCCCATGGCAGACTATAATTATAACAGATCAAAATCCTACTCTTATTCGAGCCATCACAGGAATAATAATATGCAGATGGACAACTACTACAACTATGGATCATCATATGATGGACCAACGTCCATTTCTGCGTATCCTAATAATAATCCTCCTCATGACTTCAGGTCTTACAGCGTTTCATATTCTTCTTCCTATGATGCACCGCCGCCTCCTCTGCCGCTGCCGCCTCCTCCTCCTGGACCGGCCCAGGTGAAGGACTGGAAGCTCAAGAAAGGCAAGAGCATGGGTGGGTCAGCTTCAAAATCTTGGAGCTTTAATGATCCAGAGTTCCAGAGGAAGAAAAGGGTTGCTAGCTATAAAGTCTACTCTGTCGAAGGCAAAGTCAAAGGGTCTTTTAGGAGGAGCTTTAGGTGGCTTAAAGACAAGTATACACAAGTTCTTTATGGTTGGTGGTGATTTATACTTATTTTGCTTGTTTTTCTGCTCTTCTCAATCAAAAGAAACTACTCCTATGTGATTTGAAACGCAAGAGCTTGTGTTTTTTTTTTTTTTCTATTTCCCCTCTGTGATCAAACATAAAATTTCACAAAATTGGACTTAATTTTCTTGATGTCTGTTTATTTCCTGCTGTAAATTTGGTTCTGCAACAACTTTTTTTTTTCTTCTTTCTTCTGGGCTCTGTTATTATTAAATGCCTCCCTTTCTGGAGTAATCTAGCAGTACTACTTTACTTGATCCTGGTACGCTTCATTATTCTCCATTATGATCTGATTTTACTTTTTTCTTCTGTACCATGCTTGCGTGATTAGGTATGCTTTGTTTATGTAATAGTTGCTTGCGTGATCAGGTATGCTTTGTTTATGTAGTTGCTTGTGTGATTAGGTATGCTTTGTTTATGTAGTTTAAATAGTCCCTATTTTTCTAAGATTCCGCCAGCCAATCACAACCCATTGTCTGCTAAGCGGATGCAAAATCGAAGGAAATGCAATTTTTGTGGTTATTTGTCCTTGTTGGTCATGGAAGCTGAAAAGCTTCTATCTGAAAATTCTTCACATTCAGAATTAGAAGTTGTTAGTGAAGATGTTGGTACTGTTAGCTTAACTGGCTTGATAAATGACAGACATCTCTGTAATCTGCATCGGAATGGAGAATTTACAACTGGCAAGATTTTGTTTTTAAGGATATTTGGAATTTTGGGTAGTACTTGTCAATTTGTCAACATGGAATTAGTTAATCTTTTAATCAGCATTGATAAACTAAGATCAATCTTGTGCAGTTGGCTATCAGGCATGAGATTTGTCCTTACAGAATACATGTATCCAATATGGTATATTAACTTCTGTGTTTTAAATTCCTGGACTCAACCAAGTTGGGCATCTTCTGGGTTTCAATTTTCACCATCAACTAATTCCTCTTTTGGGTTGCATACTTGGAGTTGGTTGCTTCTGCAATTTGGGGATTGAGTTCTGCTTGGGACATGGTTGATCTTGTGCACATTCTCTTCTGAATTCTTGCTCTTTCAGTGTTTTCTTTTCCAAATGCCAAATAGAGAGAGAGAGAGAGAGAGTATTTGGAAACAGGTTGGAAGAAAGGGAGATTGATGGAGTGATCTGGATTAAAAATCCTTGTGAACTCGATGATATCGATGACTGATCTTCGTTTATTTGCTTGCCAAATTGGTCCATAACTCGCTTAAGATTTTTGTACCCTGTCAAAACTCATAATGTTGTGGACATCCTGCATCCAATCTGGTTCTAAATATTACTCTGTCTTGGATTCTTGAATGTGTAGTCATTTGGGATCGTCAGATGCGAATTGTTTATGCTTTCATCTGCAATCAACACAATGCAATCTAATTGAGCGGCTTAAAATGTCAAGGCTGGTGAGCTGATGATTTAGCTTACTACTTTTGATTCCTATTAGAACTATACATAACTGTTGGATGACTTGTATCATCACTAGTCCTTGATTTTATCAGCCGCCAAAGTTGTAAAGAAAGGACGTCTTTTGATTCAGGTCAGAAAATGTTGTGATTCTCTCAATGTGAATGCTTGAAATTTTGCAGTCTTCGTTGAATGATCTGAAGCCTGATCATGATATGATGCATTCAGCTGTGAATTTGTTGATGTTTCACACTTCCCTTTTTTTTTTTTTTTTGTTGCGTTGAAGGTTTTAGACTAATAACTTGAAGTTTCAAGAACCATTCTCTTGTGCAAAGGACCCATTTTATTAGTTTCAAAGAGAAATTAAAGTATTTAAGGGTCGTCAAAAGATGCTTGGAATGATAACGCTTCACCTGTAATCATTAGCCACACGTTCTTATCAAGGGATAGTTACAGGTTTGAGTCATCAATCAATTGAGAATCGCTATCCATCCTTTTTAAACAAGAAGCCAAAAAAAAAAAAAAATCAAAAGGTCTTTGCAATGTCCAAGTTTACTGAGTCAAGGAAAGTTATCTCGAATTGCATCGAGGGATGAATTTAATATCTTGAAAAAGGGTACTGTGCCTGGAAAGGTCAAAGAATTAAGGGGCGAATTTTGTCTTGTTGGATTTTATCAAGCAAATAACTCACGGCACCGGTGTTATCTCCAAGGTCCAATGCAAAATCATACGTAGAAGCGCAGGGTGTTGTGAGAGAAAAGCACTACCATTTAGTAGTATCTACTAATCTAATTAAGGTATTGTTTGGATAGCCATTTTTCGGTGAAAAATGGTCTTGTTTTCCGTGAACACATTTTCCTATCACCTTTTTACCTCACATACATCAAATCGCTACAGTAATTTTCCAACGAAAAATTTATGAAAAATGCAATCCAAACACAACCTTCTCATTTAGTCGTGATATTCCATAATAGTGACAACGTTTGATCTTTCCAATGTCTTTCTAACTTGAAATTACGGTAAAAGGGTTTTTCTAGCGTGTGTCCCTCATTAACGCATCTAGTATTCATCTAGCATATCATATATATATATATATATATATATATATATATAATTATAATCCTTTCTTATGTATTTTTTTCTATTTAATTTTATCTATCCTCCTTTATATATTATTATTTTTTCTAATTAATTTTATATTTTTAAAAATATAACACTTGATATATATTTTAACAGGTGCCCTAGACGAACCAACGGTAAACTTGGGAGGATTGTGGATGTGTAGAGTTAATGGTTGAATCACTGAAATGAATTTAAAAGAGGGGAAGTGCACTTGAATATTCAAGAAACGGTTCAACTTGCTGTGCCTAAATTCCATCTCTTAGTTTTAGGGGCAAGTTGGTTTGTCGCAGCGGTGAGCCATCGTCGTTGGTTGAATACAAGTTCAACTAATCGGGGACTAAATATGAGAAATACAGTAGAGAATAGGGTGAAGTGAGATTGGATATGAAAAAATTACTTCAAAAAAATTACCTTTTGTATTTATTTTTTTAATTATATATATATTTTTTCTTCTCTCTCTCCTCTCACTTTTTTCCGTGACACAGAACAATTAATCTCTTGTAGCAATATACCAAGTTGACAAAATTGCCTTGCCACTTAAAAGAGAGAGTTGGATTCGATAATAAAGCGAAAAAAATTATAAATTTAAATTCTCTCGCTTATTAAAAAAAAAAAAATCACTCAAAAGCGACACGGTCTCGGTCAAACCTCTAACAAATGGACAGTGCAGCCCAACTTAAAACTTAAAAGCCGTTTGTTTGAGAGAAGGATCTGAAAATTTTGGGAAAAAAAGAAAAAGAAAAGGAGAGAAAAAAAGAAAAAAGAAAAAGAGCCACTTGAAAGAAGGATCTGTATAATTGAAAGGGAAAAAGGAGAAAGAACAAATAATCGCATACATTGCCGAGTAACTCCTTTGCATTATTTACTACTATATTCTTATCTAACTTTAATCTTTTTAAATAAATATATATTTTGACTTTCAACCAAGTGGTGGCTTAGTGCTGTTTGAATACTCACCACCAGACATATCCTTCAGGAATTGTACTCATAAATTTCTGCCCACTCGAGACAAGGGTTCAAACCTTGCTTCCCCACCGTTATCACATTATGTGGTTCTTCTAAAAAATTTAAATGGATATGTAATGCACCTGTTTGGTCCCGTGGTGATTCTGTCCCTATCGGTCTCTCGTAGATTCAATTCGGCTTTCCCTTAGTTAAATTAAAATAGAGTAGGATATAGATAAAAAAAAAGTGATGATTGACAAAAAAAAAAAAAAAAATTTCTGCCCACTTAACTATTAAAATTTTCAAATAATTCCCTGAATTATCAAAATAAGACTATTAAAATTTTCAAATAACTCCTTAACTCCTAAAATTATATACTATTATTCATTTTTTTCTATCTTCACTGTTAATTTTCTTTATTTCTTTAAGTTTTAGGAAAGTCTTTGTATAGGCATAAATGCCTTTCAATTTATCTAATTTAAATAAATTGAACTGCAGAAGTAAAAATAGACATAATTGAACCACTAAATAAATTGAACTGTTAAGATAGACAGAATAACGATTAATTAACACAATTAAGGATTTGCAAACTATTTGAAACTTTTAATTATTGAATGACTGCAAACTTACAATAAAAATAATTAGCTGCCTCCAAAATTTGACTATACTTTTTAAATTTTGGTTTGATTTTTCATTGCAAGCAAAATTTGGATAAGTCTCTCACCTGCAAAATTATATGACAAAAATTATAATAAATAGTCCAAGAAATAGAACTCAAGATTAGAAACAGTAAATTAATGATTTTAACGAGGCTTTAATCTGTTAGATAAAAAACTAAAAACTAAAAACACAAATTGAGGTTACTGTCTTTTTTTTTTAGCGCGGGGGTTTGGTTGTTTGGGTTGATTTGTAATTAGTTGTAATAAAAACTTAAAAAAGGAAAGCAGCTGAAGAGACCTTTGAAAGCAAAAGCCTTGGGAACGTATTGATAACAGGAAATCCCACCGGCCACCTCATTAAATCTGGCAAGTACAAGTATAACCCAGTTCCCTGGTGTGCTCGGGAAAAGATTGGCCGCGAAAAGATGTGGGAATCGATCTGCCTAACCATAGCAGCTACCGCCGGTAACAACATCGGCAAAGTTCTTCAGAAAAAGGGCACCCTTATTCTTCCCCCTATTTCCTTCAAGCTCAAGGTATATCTGAATATTCTCCCTGGGCCTTTTCTTTCCCTTTCTTTTATTTTAATAAACATTTTCTGTGTTTCCAGTGCTAGCTGCATTTTTCTTTCGAATTCCTCTATGCTTTGAATTGAGTTTTCTATCTAATGTTTTATTTATTGGTGAGTCTTGGTTGATCCCATTTCACATTCTGAGGTTCTGTATTCAAAATGCCCATTTATTTGAAGGTTTGGTTGTGTGGAAGACTGGAACGTTACATGATTAGAATCTTGTATTGGGTTATCTGATGATTTCGGTTTATTTTGCTTGTTGATATACTGTGTGGGTAATATTAAGTATAAGAATTGTACTGTACCTTAGTAAAATCAAGAAGGGTATAGATGGTACAATGGTGCTTGTCAAAGAGTCCTGAGACAGAGGCCGAGCTCTGAAGCCTCCCAATGTAACCTTATCAAATGATATAGTGTGGGTGGATATGCCTAGCATTTGGATTTTCACAGATTGTATTTTGGAGGGACCATTGTTTCTTGTTAGCAAATGCTTAAGCTTGTAAGAGTCTGATGACTTGTTACCAATTCTCGAAACAAAATAATGGCCTATTTGGATTCTTTTATTTTACTTTTTGGTTTTAGAGTATGATTTTTGGTTCTAATTTTTTCCTTGAACGTTGGGGTACTAATTCTATTTTCATAAAAGTGATTCAGTGCAATTGTGCCACCACACGCAACAACATGTATGGTATAGTAATTTGTCAATAAGGACTAAGAAAAGTAGGGTATTTGAAAGTATTTTGCAAGTGATATTTATGCTGACTCGAATTCTGATTAACTAACTTGATGCTGCCAATAGTAGTAATATTTTTTTCTAATGACTAATTATCTCGCAAATAACTCCGTCATTATCAATTTTTTTTCTTTGACTTAGGTTATCCTGTTTGTAATGCACATGAAACATTTCCTCTGTACAATTTATTTAACAAATTAAAAAAAGGCTGCTTGGATGAAAATTCTTTTGTTTGGATCAAAAGATTTCTTGTTACTGACTTCTCCTATGAGTTACATTGACTTAAGTGTACTTATCAGAAATTTGCTGATTTTTTTTTTAAAAATATTTCGGAAATTTATGTTTACTCTCTTTAACAGGCTTAAGAGTTATTTTTTCGTGAAATGCTTGATTCGGATTGGAGTAGATATAAATGACAGATGGAGAAGGATATATGTAGATCCATAACTTCTACACTGAGATATCGTCAGCTTCACTAGTTAGAAAATTTTTAAGATTTTGTGGCTATCTGGTGGAATTTGAAAGTCTTTTGTTTACACTGTGCATATAATTCATTTTTGTTTCTCTTAAATGGCAAATCTCCCAACATGCCAATGCTTCTTTTAGTTCTATGTGGTTAGACTGTTACTACATTTTTATCAATGACAACTATACTTACATGTAGCAATAAATCACTCCAACACTATGTGCCTTACTAGCTTTTCTGTCAAACTTACATTCGCTATGTCAAAAGGCAAGGTTTTGAAAGTCAACTGATTATCATAGATGTAATTGTAAGTTATACTTAATGAATTGCAAATTAATTTTTGCTTTTAAACAAATCTTATGCTTGAGATAATGTTTATCGTTAATAGGGTGGAGGGGCGAGAGAGTTGTTTAGAAAAGTTGGTATTGGTTCACTGTCATAGTTATATGTTTGCAGTCATGGAAATGCCTAATGTTAACTTTTAAGATGTTTAAAGCAGACAAATTGAATATGTTACTGAATGGGAACCGAGTTTCGAACTTATTTGTCTCTATCTCTTGCTTTCTTTGCAAATTTCCATACTCTTAAGATAAACGTAATTATGCTCGGTGGAAGCCACCCTTTTCGGCTTCCTTTTGCATCTGTGGAGGACAATTGTAAGGAACAAACATATGACTCAGTTCAGTAGATAGATTAGCTGGTGAAATAAAGTTCTTTAAAGTTTAGAATATAGTCCTGTAATTCCATTATAAGCTGAATTTGGTCAACCGGAATTTAGAACTGAACTTGGTGCAAAATCTGCTGTATTTTATTTGCTACTGCCAATGTCGATAAGAAGTTATGTGTGCGTTGTATGACGAATGATCTGTGTATGTAGGTAATAAAAGCATATGCTTTTAACAAAGCTTGGGTTATGGGTTTTCTGCTGGATATTTTTGGAGCCATGTTGATGTTGCGAGCACTATCCCTAGCTCCTGTAAGTGCATCATCACCTGTAATTTCTTAGATTACTTGTGCTTAGTTTCAGTGTTCCTTGGAACTGTTTTTCCTGCATATCAATTTGCACTTAAGGACTTTCTCAGTAGGACAAAAGGGTTTAAGGTGATGAGGAAAAATTTACCAGAGATTCAGATGCTATGGATGTTGCTGAACATGTAAATTTCCTTTAATTATGATTTCAGGTGTCTGTTATTCAACCAGTTTCTGGCTGTGGACTTGCCATACTTTCAATATTTTCCCATTTTTATTTAAAGGAGATCATGAATGCTGTTGACTGGATTGGAATAGTTTTGGCTGGCATTGGAACCATAGGTAATGCAAGTTCCTTTGGTATGTCTTTTCTATTTTCAGACAAAGAAACAGTCAATCTTGATTCTGTTTGGTAATAAGATGACCTCTTCCCCTAGCTCAAACTAAATACTGACTTAATCAGTACAAAAATATCTTCAAACATAATTTTCAGCTTTTCGGTGGCAAAATTGCTACTTTCTTCTTTGTGTTCTATCTATTCGGCTATTCTTTGTTGTATGTAGGTTTTTAAAGACCACTGTATACTTTCAACATTTCTTCTTGTCCAATATATTAGAACATCTTCGGCCAAATTTTATCTTCACATCAGTTTGTCCAAACAATCTAGAAGAACTAAAGGTTGGAGACAATTAAATTTTTTTTGTTTTGTGGACAACCATAATTATATATGTTTATGATGTTTGATGTTATAATTGCTATTGGGGTTTCTTTTACTGTTGTCTGCATATTTGATGAGCCACCGCTCTCATGCTTTCACCTCAAAATGACCGTTGCATTCAAAATGGATACAAAAGAGAAGGAATGGAAATAGGTATAAGAAACTTCATGAGAGATCCTCATTATTTCCTTTAATATTTTTCACATGCCAGAAAAGATAAGAGAAGCAAAATGGAACTTATGAAGTACCTGAGTAAATTGTTAAGGACAGAAAAGTCCATTTTCTGGTAACAGGATTAAAATAAATATCTTCACAAGAAGTGATATTTTGAAGTTTTCTTTCATGGAGATGCATATTGCTTGCCTCATGTATCTTCTGTCACCTGATGCCTAATGCAGTTTGCTATTTCCATTTTGAAGCAAAGTGTGAACAAGGACTTGGAAAAAGTTTGATGATTAATTGCATCTTCTTCAATGATTAGGTCCCTTCTCAAGCTTTAATTTGTCAGTATCCTATGATATGCAGGTGTTGGTGCTGGAGGAGAGGAGCAAAAGTCATCGTCAATCTCAATGTTCCGTATACTTTGGCTAGCATGTGCTGTTGCAATCTTGTTTGTAGGTATCTTACTCTTTGGACCATCTTTTGTATATTTCTGTTTACAGGATTTCTAGCTACCAAAAAACCAAAGCTTCTTTGATTTTGGGTGAATTTTTTTTTGTCTTTGATTTTGCAACTTAGTGAATCATTTGTAGAAAAAAGGGCATATGTTACTTGAAACCTCAACTTAGAAATGGTAATCAACAATCTGTTAATCATTTTTAAATCTTTTATTGTAACATGGAATGAGGAATGAGGTACTTCAGAGTCATATGTTTTTCTGTTTGAGGCACTAAACCCCACGGCTTGCTGGCCCAGAATTTTGCAATCCATCTGGGTACAAATTTAGTTAACATTTTTTTGAAACTTTGTGAACTATTCTTTAACTAGATGACAAAAGCCCATTTGCTAGCAACCATTGGTGTTGCTTGCATTGTTTGGTGGTTGTGGTTTATGTCTTCAAAACAATGCAAGTGTCAAGTCTAATGGCACTTTTGGCTCTAAAAGGTTAAACTAATGAATTATTTTATGGAGATGAATGGATAAACTGATGGCTAAAGGTTCCACTTATATCCTGTTTGTTACATGTGAAGATATTATTTGCATGGAGAATGGCCATGAAGAAGAATAAGAAGAAAATGAAGAAATGATGGTGATATTTTTGATGTGGAATAATAGATTGTGCCATCAATTCAGAAATATCAGTTTCATCAGTTCAGCCACTTAATTTGCTTAAGATCCAGATGCTAAATGCTGGCAAATTTGAGAAAGTAAGATTATGGAAAAACAGGGAGTGAAACTAATAGGTCAATTTGAGCCATTACATAGTAAACTATCAGGTTCAGAACAATGAAGTTCATCCAAAACTTTGATTATCATATATAGGTCCAGAATTGAGATATTCTGAGGACTTTTAGCAAAACAGCAATGCTAGTGGGGCATACCTTTGGTTGGATGTTAAAGTCATTATTTGCAGGAAGATGTTGGCTTGAAAAAGTATATTAGAAAAAAAAATAATGAGAAGCAAGTGATTCAAGTTGCTGTGAGTAAGGTTCTAAACTATAATGTAAAGAGTTAGTTTATAAGTTCCTAATTCTTTTAATTCCCTTTGTGGTTACATTGCGTTATTGTTCAGGAATCCTCATACATATAATGTTTTCTGTATGACTGGAAGCATCAATACTTGGAAGACACATTCTACTAACATGTAAACAGAAATTCTCTTTCTTACCCTTTTACTGTCTAGTGCATGTTGTCCATTGGGATAAGAGAACATCTTGCTTGGAGATTTCTGTGTCTTAATTTGAATCTTTGTGTTGCGGACAAGAAGTTTCAAATGGGAGTGCGTTTCATTGAATTATAACTGGTATCTTGCATATCTAACGAGTTGCAAGAACACATCTATATGTATGTTGGAAAAGAATTTTTTTTTTGGCGTGTTGGGGGGGGGGGGTGGTGCGTTTGTACTTTTTGTACTAAGACCTGTTGCATTTACTAGTTTGCTGATTACAGGTCCTTCTTAATGGATGGCAGCGAATGTACAGAAGGCAAAGAAGGGAGCACGAATTGGTAATCTCCTTTAGTCTCTACCTTTTTATTTTATTTTATTTTAACTCTTTGATCTGACTGTTGCATTTTATCTTCTAAGAATTCTTTATAATGAGAACCTTTTTTCACTGTGCAGATGCAGTATGAAGTTGTTGAGGAAATAATTTATGGCTTGGAATCTGGCATCTTATTTGGGTACTTTTTGAACTGGATTTTAAGTAAAAAGATAAAATTCTTGGTTTCATATGTAGCTTAGACATTTTTCTATTACTTTTTCCTTATTATGATTTTAATTACTATGTTTTCATAATTGAATTTCTAGTTAGCAACTTCTATATTTTTTCCCTTCCTTTCTTGTCCATGCATTTGTACTTCTGATTGTAAGCATGCGATCTCTTTTTCTACTTTTGCCGTGTTAACTATATTATAACGTCATTCTTTTCCACAAGAGAATTGGCTCTGAAAGTTTCAAAACTGGAAGTTTCTTTGTTTGATCAATTTTCCTTCTAATTCTTAGAGTGCTGAGTATTTTAGTTTTGCCATAGATTTATGTTTTCGTTGTGTATCTATTTTCCAATTTTCTCCTGCAAAGCACTATAGGGTTCAGCATAGTGGTGGTAAACTTAAACCTAAAGAGATTTCTGGACTGCCTTCTAAAAAAAGTTTCTAGTGCTGTTGGTGATCCCTTTTTTGGGCAATGTTTTAGTTTTACCTAGCAGAGTAGGCAAGTATAGTTGATCTTTGCTTGGCTGATTATTTGCTTTAGTATCAGTGATGATGTTTTCAAAATTACTCCGGATTGTGAATTTTGTGGAATGTAAGCAAATTTCTGCCCTGAATCATGATGTCCATATATCTGTCTACTGACGAAGATGGACTGCAAAGTGCCTTGATCTGATACCATAGAGATGTTTTAATTATTAAAGGGATGCAAATTGCTTTTCATTTTTTCCGATAAAATCTTACCTGTTGAAAGTGTCCTCTTTGTTTGTGGAACTGCTTGTGAGAAACTACTTTGATGATCTGGTTGCAGGATTTCATCTGTGGTGTCAAAGATGGGCTTTGTACTATTGGAGCAGGGCTTCTCCCACTTACTGGTCCCCATTTGTATTTTAATGAGTATATGCTGCAGTGCTTCTGGTTTTGTTTACCAGGTTATTTGAACAGTAATCAATTTCATATATGCTCGATTCCCATGATCTGACTTAGGGACAAATATTAAGAGGCCAAGGGAACTTTTTGTTCCGACGTTTGAAAATGCTGTGTTGTCCAATGCAAAGGCTAGCGCACCCACAACAATGTATATAAACTGTGTAATAATAATCAACACTTTTGCTTCTTGGAAGGCAGACAAGTTCTAACAATCAGAGACCCATCAGAACATTTTGAAAGCTAAAATAGATTCTTTTGGATGGATGCTTCTAGTGTAGCCTTAACATTAAGTGCTTATTATTCTCTTTTGTAAAGCAGACACGTGGCTTGAAGCATGGGAGGGCCATTGTGGTGTCCACATGTGCTGCTGTTGCATCAATTGTGACTGGTGTACTGGCTGGAATGCTTGCTTTAGGTGAACGATTGCCTGAAGCACCCATTGCTCGTCTCTGTCTTTTACTTGGATGGTACATAAATTTTCTATGCGTCCTTTTCCTATGTGTTACTCAGCATGTTCTAAATCTATATTCTACTTAATATGCTACTGTATTTTGAGCTTTACCATCAAGGGTGTCTGAACAATTGTAATCCAAAAGATCTTGTCATCATGTTTGACATTGCCTGTACATTTTCTTAATATTCAGGCCAAATAGATAGTTTTCATATTTCTCGTTTATTATCTGGTGATTTCTTGTTGACACAGAGAACATCTAATACAGGTTATTGATTATATCCGGCGTGGTTCTACTAGTAACTTCAGCAAGGCTGGTGCGGTACCTTCCACGCCCTTGGCGACGTGTTTTACGAAGCAGTGTTGAGAGGAACGTTGGCATTAGGCATTCCAGTTCCATCCGTGGTAGAGAACAGAGTCCAAGTACTGTTATTCAAGCGTCTGCATTACATCATTTGATAACATCTCCTAAAGAGAAAGCTTAAATTGATTAACACTGCACCCAGTTAGCATGCACCAAATTTTTTTGTAAATGAGCTTGATTTTGACTTGACATAATTTTTGGTGTTTTTGGTTCTGGAGTGTATAGAGCACAACCGCATGTTACAAGTGATACTAAGGGTGAAGTTCACTATGATGAGCATTTTAGGGCATGCTCGTATAAGCCTATTTCAAAAGAGTTTCAGTTGATTCCTTTGCTGTCTTATACGCAGTCCTCTTTTGTGCATTCTTTTTGGCTTATGGTAGAGAAGGGTCCACCCAATCTGTGTCTGTGTGTGCTTTAAGCACAAAAGGAAGCACATTTGAATCTTGATGATCAGATCAGTAACTATTTGCTTTCTTTTTTGTATGATTAGGATACATTTCCTGTGAGAAAATTAGAAGAAAGAAGCAGGAAAATGCCTTCCCTAGTTTTACCTACTTTGATGTGGGGTAGAAAGCAAAGCTTCAGTATAGCATCAGCTGTTGTCATTGCTGATTAGCTAGAAACAAATGTCTGCTTAGCTTTAGGAAAAGTCGTTGAATGCACTTAATCCCAATTAAGCACGATTGAGGTGGCGGCTATCACTTTTTTTTTTTTTTTTTTTTTTTTTATCTTTATTTGATTTATCTCTCTGGTCATAGCCTCGAAGGTTCAGCCACCTGATCCTTTTCTGTAAACAGCCAAAAAATAAATGGGTCAAAAAGTCACTGCCCTTGTTTGGAAAAACCTCTTTCTTATGATGATTCTCTTGATTCCATTCAAAGGACAATTCAGGGCCTACTCTTCTGAATGGCCCCATTTTGGCAGTCGATTCACACGTCAATTCAGTACCTTTATCGGCCTTTCCATGATAGAGTTGAAAGTTTAAAGAAGAAAAGAAACCTGAAAGACAGAAGAATGACATCAAACCGAAAAAGTCCTATCCACCCAGCTTGGCCACAGACAAAATTCACCTTAAAAGCCCCAAACAAGAAGTAAGATTGAATCATTTGATGTTCTCTCCTCCCCTCTTTAACATTCTCAAAGGCAACATGGATTTCAATATCCAGTCGGACCAATCACGTTTGTAACAATGATGGCTGTCATGGAACCAGCAAAAATAGCTCCAACAACTAAAGCAGCTCAGTTCGAGAAGATAAAAAGAGGAGCTGTGCTGGGCGATTTGGTCCTAGAAGTACACAATGCCAGAGAAAAATGCATGTGAGAGCTGCAATGGCACATGCAAAACGGACAGTCTTATTTAAAATAAAAAGCTTCAGACATAAACTGAACTCCCACAGATGTGTCGAATGAGTTTGGTTCCTAAACTGTAGGACATGTGGGTTTCTTGTGTCAAGCTCGAATGATGTACATTAATAATTTTAAGATGAACACACTGTGTACAGTTCAATAGTTTGAGCTCTTTTTTTTTTGTTCTTTTTTTGTTTTCTAGTTGCTTGGATTCGTATGAGGCTCAAACTCGAGGCCTTGCCTGGAGATGACTCGAATACCACTAAACTGAGCTCATTAGTAATGATTTTAGGCGTTTATCTCTAAAGAAAAGGCATCATTGACCCCACAAGTAATTAACAACTTCAACGGCTTTCCGTGATCAAATAATCCTCTTATTAGTATCATCAATTGTGGCAAAGTTAATGCTCTCTCTGAAATACTTTGATAAGTGGATTGACTTTGTCTGCTTGACGTGCCACTCTCTGAAACTGAGTTAACTTTTAAATTGTAGAGTAGATGACAGTGTAAGGTGCAGGGAATCCCTTAACAATTTTCCAATTGAAGGAGGTTAATAACCTCCTCTCCCCTAATATGATCTTTTTGTGTGAAACCAAAAGCAAGATTGAATATATGGAGAAGGTAAAAAGTAGGTTGAACTTTGAAGAATGTTATGTAGTAGAGGCTCTGGACAGATCTGGTGGTATGGCACTACTGTGGCATAGTAACATTAAAATGCTGGAGATCTATCATACAACTTTCGCAATTGAAATTCATGTGCAAGATCTAAAGACGCAAACAGATTAGTGGTTCATTGGCATACATGTAACTTGCTTGAATCAATTAAGAAGGGAGCAATGGAAAGTGATTGGAGAAAGAAAGGGACTCTGGGAAAACAAGAGGCTAATAGCTAGAGACTTTAATGACATTGTGTCAAATGAAGAAAAATGAGGTGGGAAAGCAAGAGAAGAGTGGTTTTTCAATCAGTTTAGGAACTTCATTTCAGACAATCAATTGGTGGATGTAGGTTTTGAAGGGTACCTACAGACTTGGTGTAATAACTGGGGCAATGAAGGTGATGCAAGGCAGAGACTAGATAGAGCTTTAAGTGGTCATGGCAGGTCCCAAACTTTTGACAAAACTAAATGTAGACATGTAGAAAACTTTGGCTTAGACCATAGCATGTTGATGATTGATACTAATCCAAATACTCGTAGGAAAAAGAAAAAATTTTACTTTGACAAAAAGGTGGATACAAAAAAAGGGGATTCAGCAGGTGATAAAGGATAATTGGAATAGGGATTTTGAAGGTTACAAAATGTTCAAAGTGACCAAAAAGATAACCAATTGTAGAGAAATACTTTTCAAGACAATGCGAAGCTAAAGATAACACAAATCAAACAATAGTTGGAGGAGATGCAAAGATCAGGGGGAGAAAATAGAAAAGAAAGGAGAAGAGAACTAAAAAACCAATTGAAGCAGGCACATGCAGCGGAAGAATTGCACTAAAACAACAAGGCAAGATGCACCTGGTTGAAAGAAGGAGATAAAAATATTCAATTCTTTCATGCTAGTTTCACAAGGAGGAGAAAAAGATATAGAATGCAGAATTTACAGAGAGGAGATAGGACATGGACTGGAAATGAAGAGGAGTTGGGAGAAGAGATAGCCAATCACTACCATCAATTGTGTTAGCAGCTTAGGGGTGGACTATCTAGATGAGATTTTGGATGGCATACCATATACAATCTCCCAACAAATGAATGACAAGCTAACTAGGAAGGTGGAGAAGGGGAAATAAAAAAATGCAGTCTTCTCCATGAACCAAATAAATCCCCACATATTGATGGCATGAGCCTTTTATTTTTTCAAAAGTTCTACTCCTTCTGTCCCATTGAAGGTGTCATACTTTTCTTTTTTAACTATCCCAAAATATTTGTCATGTTTGACATTTCTAACTACTTTATACGTTGAAATTTCCCTTATGCCCTTCATTAATGATGCATAAAGACAATATGATGTGATTGTTTTCTACTTTTTACTTTGATCAGCACGTGATTAAGGATAAAAGTGAAACAAAAGGAAAAACTTTTTGGTGGAGTGTACTATGCATAAAAAGTACATATCCCCAAACATGACTAAATATATGGGAGATAGGGAATAGTATATCATAAAAGATGATGTCATCAATGCCAATCAAAACTTTTTCCATTCTAGTCACATGCTCAGTCCTTAAATCATATTGTGATCTCACTAATTCCTAAAGTAAATAACCCCACCACCCTAAAGCATTATAGACCTATAGTTTTTGCAAGGTTTTGTACAAAATAATATCTAAAATCCTTGCAAATACACTAAAGAAAGTGTGGATATGTGCATCAATAGAAATCAAGTAGCATTTGTCCCTGGTATGCAGATCTTAAGGATGGAAGGGTCAAATCGAGGAGAAGGGAAGGGATGATGGTCCAGAAAGTGAGTGAGCTAGTTAGGGACGGGAGATGGGATAGGGAGCTGATCAAGCAAGTCTTTGAGAAGGAGGAAGGGAGGAACATACTGAGAATCCCGCTTGGGGTACAACCTCTAAAGGATAGAATATATTGGAATTTCTCTCCTACAGGTATGTACACAGTTAAGTCAGGGTATAGATTGGCTAAGAAAAGGAGAAGGAGGGGGTGGCAGGGCAAGGCAGATGCTGGATCTAGTTGTTCGAGGGTGGGAACTAACCTGAGCTGGACTTTTCTGTGGGGCTTGAATATGAAGCATAAGTTGAAGCATTTCATTTGGAAATGCTTGCATGGGGTGCTGCCAGTGAATGCTGTGGTCAGAGAGAGGTGCTCGAAAGGTGATCCTATGTGTATAAGCTGCGGGGAGAGCACGGAAACTATTGAACATTGCTTGTTTCTATGTCATCACGCCAAGGCTGTATGGAAGATTGCGCCTCTGAGTTGGGATGGTTTAGAGATGTTTTCAAACAGTTTCTGGCATTGGTGGGAGGAATTAAAGGGGGCGGCAAAGGAGGAAAATGGGAGGGAGCGTATTATCTTGTCTGTCAATTTGCTGTGGCAAATCTGGAAGTCTAGGAATGCTAGGCAGTTTGATGAGAATCATGGAGACCCAAGGATGGTAGTAGAGAAAGCACTAAGGGAGTGGAGGGAGTATCAGGAAACTCAGGAAGAAGTGAGAGGAACTGGTGAAAGTCAGGCGAGGAAAGATGAAGCAGTGTTAGGTTGGAGGAGGCCAAGGGCTGGTTAGGTCAAGGTGAATTCAGATGCAGCGTTACACCTTGAATCTGATAGGGCAGGCTGGGGGATGGTAGCAAGGGATCGGCTAGGAGGATTGCTGAGGGCTTGGGCTGTTCCTAATTTTAGCTGTGCCAGTCCAAAGGTGGAAGAAGCAAAAGCGTTAAGGGAGGCTATGGTAATTACCCATCAGCAAGGTTGGCGAAGGGTTGAGTTTGAAGGGGATTGTAGTCAGGTAGTCAGAGCAGTGTGCAGTGAGGAGGAGGACGTAGCTATAGCAACAATTGTACATGATGTCAGGATACTTAGGTCAAATTTTGATGAATGTTGTTTTACCCTTACAAACAGGGTGAACAACTTTGTTAGTCACAAGATAGCTAAAGTAGCTATTACTTTGAAGCAAAATACTGAATGGAAGGAAAACTCCCAGTTTGGCTGCTTGAACAAGTTCGAGCAGACTGTACGGGCAGTTGCCCACCTATACTGTAATGTTTCCTTATTAATACAATGTTGCAGATTCAAAAAAAAAAAATTATAATGTCATTATTTCTCATCAATTTCTGCACTACTTAAAAAACAAAAAGCAAAGAAGAAATGAATTTTTCGCTTGAAAATTGGATATGTCTAAAACTTATGACAGGATAAAGTAGAAGTTTCGAGGAAATAATGAAATGAATGGGTTCATGTGAAAAGTGGATCAACTAGATTATGAACTGCATCAAAATAGTCACCTACTCTTTCAATGTTAATGGTGAGATAAAAGGCTATGTAACCTCAATGAGAAGAATCAGACAAGGAGATTGTTTATTTCCTTATCTGTTCTTACTATGTTCTGAAGGCTTTACCAACTTGCTCAAGAAAGCAAAAAAGAAGAGGAAAATCATAGAGATGAAGATTTGCTGGTAAGGACTAGCAATTACTCATCAATATTTTGTAGATGACTTCTTTATCTTGAACAAAGCAGAACCCAAGGAAGTAGATAAGCTTATGGAGATCTTGAGAAAGTATAAGCGAGGCTTAGAACAAGTGGATAATCTAGAGAAATCTTCGATCTTTTTCAATAAGAATATTCCTCAATCACATCAAGTGGAGGTGTGCAGTAATTTAGCAAGATACAAGTAGTGGCTTAGGGAAGATACCTTGGATTACCTATAGTATCTCCTTATCTGTTCTTACTATGCTCTGAAGGTTTTACCAACTTACTCAAGAAAGCAAAAAGGAAGAGGAAGATCATAGGGATGAAGATTTGCAGGTAAGAACTAGGAGTGGTAATTTGGGTTCAAATCAGGTTGACAGGTCGGATCTGACCCGACTCGTCAGAAAATCTGTTGACCTGAACCCGATCCGCCAACCCGTGACGGGTCAGGTATACTGACCCGAACTCGAAAATTTCAGGTTGACGGGTTGGCGGGTCGACCCGAAATGACACGAAATTTAATTTTAATTTATTAATTTATCACTGTAATTTCTAATAAAATTAATTTCTCACAAAACTAATTACATGATCAAGTAATAAAAATTTAAATAAATAATTCCAAATCAAATCTAAAATAAATGAAACATCGTAAAAGTATTTTATCCCAAACAAAATATAAAATAAATTAAAACAGTATAAAAGTAAAAAATAATATAATATATTATTTGTCCAAATATAATAATTTCAACTTCACACAAATTAAATAAATTCATTTAGGATTAAGTAATTAATGCATTTGAAAAAAAGAATAACTTAGTTTAGTTAGATAAAATTATTTTTATGTTTATTAAATTATTTTTAATTCGTAAACGGGTCATATCGGGTCATATCAGGTCACCACGGGTTGACCTGAAATCGACATGTTTTCTTTTCGGGTTCAACCCGATTCTGACCCGAATTCCCGAAACCTCAACCCAAATTCATTAATTTCGTGTTAGGTTCGTGTCGTGTTTTCAGGTCGTGTCGAAAATTGCCACTCCTAGTAAGAACTAGCAATTACTCATCAATATTTTGTAGATGACTTCTTTATCTTCTACAAAGCAGATCCCAAGGAAGCAGAAGAGCTTATGGAGATCTTGAGAAAGTATAGGCGAGGCTCAGGACAAGTGGTTAATCTAGAGAAATCTTCGATCTTCTTCAATAAGAATATTCCTCAATCACATCAAGTGGAGGTGTGCAGTAAGTTTAGCAATATACAAGTAGTGGCTCAAGGAAGATACCTAGGATTACCTGTAGCAATATCTAGATCCAAAAAGCTAGTGTTTAACTTCATCAAGAAAAGCTGTGAAAAAAAGATGCAACATTGAAAAAATAAGCTGTTCAGGATTGCTGGTAAAGAAGTTCTCCTCAAAGCAATAACTATGGCAATGTCCATCTATGCAATGTCATGCTTCAAACTATCAGTTAGACTATGCAAAGAAATGAGCAAAATGATGTCTAATTACCAGATGGAAAAAGGAAAATGTATTGGTGCTCTTGGCAAGAAAAAATGGTGGCTTAGACTTCAGAGACCTGTATAATTTTAACAAGGTTTTGCTAGGTAAGCAAATTTGGAGGCTGATAACAATGCCAAACTCCTTGGTAATTAAAGTGATGAAAACAAAATACTACCCAACAGAGACAATCTTCAACTGTAAGGTCCATAACAATGCATCATGAATCTGGCAAAATCTAATGGCTATGAGAGAAGATGTTCAGAGAGACACTAAGAGGAAAATAGGAAATGAGAGAAGTACAAAAATTTGAGAGGACAATTGGATACCAGAAAATCTTTAAGGGAAGCCTGTTTCAATTAGACCTCAAAATTGCCAAATACGGAAAGTGAAGGACCTATCCAAAACTTCAGATAGAAAAGACCCTTAGTGTTCAGATTATTAAACTAAGAAAAGGCAAAGAAAGTCTTGAGAATACCCAGAGGTCTGGCAAATAGAAAGGATTGTCATTTCTAGATACATAGTGTGAATGGCCACATGGTTGCATCAGGATACAAGAAACTCAGTAAGCAGGGAGGCAATTAGAAGCAAAAAGAACAATCAAGAGAAGAGTCCAATTTGGAGGAGAAACACCTTTGGAAACACTTGTGGAAACTCAATGTAAAGCACAACTTGAAGATATTTATCTGGAAATGCTTGAAGAAAGCCCTGCCTGTGAATGAAGTTGTTTTCAACAGGACAAAGAAGGGATCTCCAATATGTGAAAGCTATTGTGAAGGCATAGAAACTATGGAACACCAATTTTTTCACTGTAGACATGCTAAGGAAGCATGGAACCTATTACCAGTGAAATGGGATACAATGAAGACCAAAAAAGAAACATCAAAAGATGGTGAAATGCTTTAACAGAAACTAGTAATAGACTTGAAGGAATGGAACATATTGCACTAACGGTAAATATTCTTTGGTAGATTTAGAATGCCAGGAATGAGAAAATTTTTATTAGAACAGAAGATCATCAATCAAGAAAATTCAGAGAGCTTAGTTGGAGTAGATAGAATTTCAGGATACAAATGCAAATGAGAGCAAGGTAAGCGTGCCAGAAACAATAGCGACTAAAGCAACACAAAAAGAAAGCAGAGACATAGATGCCCTAATACACATTAGTTTTGCTGTAAAAACTCAAGGACAAGACAGTCAAATGGGAGTTGGCATCTATGCATTGAATGAGAACAACCAACTGATAGCTCAATGGGCAATAAGGGAATTTAGTGTAGGGAACAGTCTGATGGACAATGTAGTGGCTCTCAAACTTGTGGGAAAAATTGCAAAGAACTGGGAAATATTGTAACATGAATCGGCTTCAAATCGTGATAGATATCACTTTCCTTTAGGCTTTATTTGTCCGGTATAACGTGCAATAACTCTGGACAAATATCCTTTAGGATAAGATGAAGTTTGTTTGTCTTAAACTCTTGCACAAAACAAGACAAACCCTTTGTGAACTAAGGAGTGCTTTTTGAGAGAGTATAGAATAGTAGGAAAATGATTTTCTGCAGCAAACAACTCTCTACTTGATCTCTTTATATAGGAAGATTGTTTGGGAAACAAAAGGACTCATTAAATACTTATATGAATAGATTCAAAGTATTGTGTACACATTCATGCATTTTAATTTATGCATCTCATGGTCTTTAAGATCAAACATGAATCTATCCTTTCATTCAAGAATTCCCATATACATGAATACATTCATAAATAAATGTACATTTTAGAAACATTCACAACACTATACATGTACCAAAACTATTAATGAATATACATTAATTACATGTATGTACATCATACAAATTTTGAAAAGTTTCCAACAAAACTTGCAATGATCAAGGCAGGAGAACAACAATAGAGGAGGATTGAAGTGGGAATCCCACAACTGTAGCTGGTGAAGATAATAGAAACCAAGACCGGTGATATTAGACTGTTCTCTCATTTAAAGGATATTAAAGATTTAAACTCTATGTTTGTGGAACGCTCGTTTGTTTTGGTTAGGAATGAGAATAGTATTAGGACAAATAATATTTGTAATCATGCGTTAAGCACATCTTTTGATGTGGAGTGGTTAAATCCTTAGTGTCTTTGAACACTTGTATAGATCTAATTAAATTTTTGCTCACTAAGTGTATAGTTCATACATAAATCTAATAAAATTATCTACCAGCTGGGGGTGGGGGGGGGGTGGGCGGGGGAGGCGAGGGGGAAAGAGTAGATGACAGTCCAAATTTGGTACGGACACTACAAAACACATCAGAAAATCAAGATTCAGTTGTGGAGATCAATGAGCACAAGTTTTGGCCCTATCTTCCCCCAAGAAAGAGCAAAACGAACAAGACAGTGAATTTCCGCATCATGAAGTTCAACAGAGATGATGGACTCGGGGCACGGACAATTTTAGTCATTATCAACTGGGCGTAACTTTCTTTGTACATCGTGTAACTTTTTTTTCACAGGATGTATTTTCGCAACAGATAGTGATGGACCCCACATTTGATGCGAAAATCGAGTTACATGGTGTAATCTCAGCACACAAAATTTTAAAAGCAAATT